AATTAACGAACTTTGTGTAATTAAAAGTAAGCATTCCTCGAGGGATCGACAACCCGAACTCAAAAAGTCCACTTTATTTTGAACGCGACCCGTGCACTTGCGGTATATTATTTTACGGAACAATATATGGTCATATAACCTGATTGGCTCACTCCATATTATATTTTGGAGATGTTTGATATATCGTTGTTTCACTTTATTGTTATGAGTATTTTGAGGCGGGCAAATGGAGCCTAACTTGGTATATATGTAATGGAGATATTGTATTGTATTTCGGGTTGGTCTAGTCCAGATGGTGTCGAAATTTTGGTAGATCGTGTTGTGATAGCTATCTTTCTAGGTTGTCTGCAAAGTCTCATCTCTTCGAGGTTGGTTCATAAGCCCTTAGCTTTACTTCTTCCAATGTTAACTATAAAGCCTTGTTTCTTCGAGGAAATCCAAGCTCATTCGTTTACTTTCAAGGTAATTTGTAAGTCGCAACCTATTCGGATTAGACTCATATTTCAGAGGCAATTCAAAAGTTCTCGCTTATTAGGAGTTAGTCATATTTTAGAGGCTATTGGTAAATCCTCATCTCGTAGACTATTTGCAAGTGTTCATCTTTCCACTGTCAACCGTCACCTAGTTGACAACTTATATTTCAAAGTTCGATCGCACATAAATGTATGACTTACAGTTTAAGGACTGTTGTTACATCTATAAATTACATGGCATTCATGTGACGAAGGAGATCCCACAATAGCCAACTTAACAATGATGATGTCAATTAGATTGGACCGACCAAATCAAGCAACATCTTCTTGGCTTGGTCCCTTTTGAACAATATTCCTCCTCTATATATATGTAAATTCATTTGTACCAAAGGTATGTTCACTAAAAACCTAGCCAAATCCCGTCTTACTCATCTCACCTAGTCATCTTTGTACGTATGTTGCAGCGTACAAGTGATGACTAGGTGAACAAGGAGATGGTCCGACTTTTGTTGACTACTCGATCAGACAAAATTTGAAGTCAATATTAGTATTTAATATACCCCGCCAAAACAAACTATTACAATATATGCGTTGTCCAAACATTTCATGCAATAATAAGAACAACTTAAATTAAGATAATCAGATTTTGTCTAAGAGACAATGCAACCAAATCACAGTCACCTTCAAAATTTGAAATCAAACATTAAACCACACTACAAGGTTACAAGCACTTTTCAAACCTAACCAAATACAGTATGAGTTAATTGAAGATCTATGGTTTAAAGAATGCCAATGCACCATTCTCACCAGAAACCAAAACGTGTCCCGTGAAAGAAAATGAATAAACCAAAAGATATAGAGTCCCCAGGACCAATCAATAGAAATACTCCATCTTTGTTAGGAAGCGGCCGCATTCTTATAGAGATAAACACGGTCTTCAGCAATCAAATTCGGTGTGAGAATGCAATGTTTCAGAAGGGGAAAAAAAACCGTAATTTATGCACATATGTCTTCTAGTAAAGATGTATTTCTCCAAACATGTTGATTTGAGAAGATTCAAACTGGGGTATAGATAATTCACTCTCCTCTTGATTATTGAAGAAGTCATCAATATCTGCAGGAAACCTCAAAAATCCATTTGGAAAGTCCCCATATATTTCTCCTTCACTCTCCTTCACAATATCTTCACCTGATTCCTCGTTCTTATTTGGCTTGCTGCAGCAAGTGCATAACGATTTCGATTGAACATTACTCTCCTTTATACTTCCTTTAACTTCATGCTTCTCCTTTGTAGTACCTTTAACTTCTGCAGTAGTTTTGCCTGTAAGTCTTTGTACAAGCTCCCGAAAATTTTTGACATCAGTTTTTAAGATTTCTGGGGCTACAACGTGAATTATGCGAATCTTTGGCTTCAATTTGGTTACAGTGTGGGAGTCCTTGTAAATTGTCAACTTAGATGGAGTTAAGGAGGTGTCAAATGAAGATGGCTTCATTTTTAGTCTTGTGGGTATGAGATAGGATTAGATTTAGATAGAGAGATATTGAGAGAATATGTATAATTCTGTGTTCAATTGTAGAAGATGAAGGTGGATATATATAGTGGAATGGGGGAGAAAAAATATTTGTAGCTTGTCTTTTGGAAGCCATTATTAGATGGATCCTTGTCTTAATTCTTTTTTTTTTTTTTTTTAATTTGTTCATAATGTTTGAAACTTAGACTTTGCATAATAAAATTGGCCATGATAATGATGTACGCGGCACCGTTTACTTGCTGAGATAAAATAATTGGTCAACACTTATTCATGTATCTTCATCCCAAAAAAATCAACATATTCGTCCATACCATTATGAATAAGTTAAATAAAATTCCATAGTAGGGTCGTTTCTTCAAAAGATCTTCAAGTGGAAATTAACGGAAAACAAATATGGGGTTTCGTCGTCTTTTACATTCTCGTCTATATTGTTAGCACTATACGTCTCGTCTTTAATCCAATCTAATGAACCACAAACTTGTATTGACTTCTATGTCAGAATAATTACTTGATATGCAACTAGAGCTAGGATATTATTTTTATAAATACAATTGGTGAACATGGATTTGAATATTTTGACTTTACTCAGACATCCTCTTACATGGCATCTCTCTTTGTCCCTTTCATGAAAGTCAAATTGTTTTAAGAATAGGCTACTTGTGATAGTGGCTATCATTTGGCTAAGTTTTTCCAGCTTTGGCCAACCAAGTAGCCTAAATAATTGACTTTGTTATTAATAATCTTGAGAAATTTTTGAGAAACAAATTCAAGCGTGTGATAGGAAAAGTTCTTGTGTGCGTGTTCTTTATTCACATTGTATTGTCGTAAAAAATAAGTTGCGCAGGAATTTTCATGCATACAAAGCCCACCTAATCGTGGATTTGGTTTAAGGTCTTCTTTTCAAGAAGTGATACTTTTTTCCCAAAATGATGTCCATACATTAGAATTTGTTGAATAACAATTTTGATGTGATCAAATATTTGTGCATTTCTTCCTTAAAATCAAAATTGTAGTTCGATGTATCCTTGATAAATTGCATGCGACAATGCTAAACATGCATATAAGTTCCTTTTTAGATATTAAGTTGATAATCTTTTATAAAATACTTGTTTAAGTTAATATGTTTGTAAAAATATGTGTACAATATACTTGCATGAAATTTGTTGACCTAAAATATCGTTAAAATTCAATTATCAACAAATTTCCAATCACGACTCTATCAATCTGTATGTTATTTGTATATATAATCATTAGACACCAAGATCACTAAGTCAAAGAGACAAGGGGCTAACGATCGTTGATATTCCAGCGATCAAGTCAACTATAGGTACAAAGTTACGGGGATTGCATGTGAAAGAGATAAGTGATAATTTGCAGAGAACTAAAAGAGATGAAATGAAAGGCGGGAAGACGATTCAATTGATTAAACAAATTCAAATTACAAAATGATACCAGCAATGGCCTATTTATACACGAGCTGAAGGAGAAGCTCACGCCTAAAGGATGAAGAGGGAAAATCACAATGACATAAATAACCTTCATCTAAATGGGCTAATCTAAAATGGGATTGGCAAGACTATAATGGGCTTAACACTCCCCCTCAAGATGAGGAATACTTAAGAATCCCCAAGTCCCTCAGCTTAAACCTTTCATTTAAATCCTTCTTGAATTGATCGATATTGAGTAAATCATTTCCACCTATTATGATATCATCTACATAGACTAATATCACAGTAAAGGAGCAGCCATTTCGTTTGCTAAACATAGAATAATCTGCCTTTGATTGCTAAAATCCTTGTGACAGGGTATAGGAGGTCAGATTAGTGTTCCACTGTCTAAAGGCTTTTTTAAGCCCATATATTGACTTATTTAACTTGCAAACAAAGCGTTCACCACACTCCCCCTGCTGTTCATACTCAGGAGGCATCGCCATGTAGACCTCTTCATGTAATTCACCATGTAAAAAGGCGTTACTAATGTCAAGTTGATGCAACACCCATTGTAATTGAGCAGCAACAGCCAACAAAGTTTTGACTGTCACCAACTTTGCTACTGGGGAGAAATTCTCCTCATAGTCTAAGCCTGATTGTCGGGTAAAACCTTTGGCAACAAGACAAGCTTTCTTCCTTTCCTCAGTGCCATCTGAATAGAGCTTAACCTTATACACCCATTTACAGGCCACTGGCTTCTTATCTGCAGGGAGCTTAACAACATCCCAGGTCTGATTCGAAATAAGAGCTTTATATTCCAAATCCATAGCAAGACACCAATCAGGATACTTGGATGCCTCTTCAAAGGTGTGAGGCTCAAACATAATGGATAAAGCCAATGCAAAAGTTCTATGAGCAGAAGACAGCTTAGTATAAGCAAGATGATCTGATATTAGATATTGCTTACCTGATGTAGGACCTTCGCCCATAGAGTTTGATGGAGAAGTAGATGCCATGGAGGATAGATTACGGTGGTGATCCAAGAGATAGGAAGGTGGTTTCATGGTTCTTTTTGATTTTCGAACAGGGATCAAAGAAGAAGAAGAAGAAGAATTCTGATGTAAGGATGGAGGATGAGGTGAGGCCAGAATCTGAGATGAAGATGAAATCTGAGATTGAGGAGTGAGATTATCAGAAGGTGACATTGATACAGCAACTGGATCTTGGATAGAAGGAGAATTGGGAAAATCAGGAAGAATAAAAGACTGAGGTGAGAATGAGGATTAATTAGAGGAAGAAGAACGGGAAGAATTGATTAAAGAGTTTAAGAAAGAAAGATGGTGGAATGGAAAGATGTTTTCATGGAAAATAACATCCCTAGAATGGAAAATTGTATTGGTATGAAGATTATATAATGTATAAGCCTTCATACCATAAGGATATCCAATAAAGATGCAAGGGGCTGCTCTAGGATCGAACTTGGATCTGTTTCTTCTCAAAGTAGTAGCATAGCACAGGCAACCGAACACTCTGAGGTAGGAAAGAGAAGGTGCTGAGTGATAGAGCGTTCCATATGGTGACTTATCATCAAAAACAGAGGAAGGGGTTCTATTCATAAGGTGTGTGGCAGTTAGAATGCAATTTCCCCAGAATTTATGTGGCAAATTTGCCTTAAAATTTGAGTGCTCTAGCGATGTTTAGGATATGTTGATGCTTCCATTCAACAATCCCGTTCTGCTGAGGAGTTTCTACACAGCTAACTTGATGCAAGATTCCTTTGGAATGATAGAAATCTATCATCAGAAACTCAGCACCAATATCAGACCTTAGTGTTTTTACGTTGGTTTCAAAGTGAGTCTGAATTAATGAATAAAAGTTGTGAATAATAGGTCTGGTTTGGGACTTGGTTTTCATTAGATAAGTCCAGGTGACTCTACTATAGTCGTCAACGATGGTGAGAAAATAATGAGATCCATCTAGAGAAGGTTTGGAGTAAGGGCCCCAAATGTCGCAATGAATTATGTCAAAGTCCTTAGAGGCTCTCGTTTCATTGATAGGAAAAGGAAGCTTATGTTGCTTGGCCATAGGGCAGATTAGACAATGTAAATGTTAATTAAGTGTGATGTTAGAAGCGTATTTATGAAAGGTGGATAGCTTTGAAACGGGCACATGACCCAAACGGTAGTGCCATATATCGATATTACTTGTAACATGACTGATATTTTGAACATTACAAGAAGTAGCGACAACTTTATTACAATAGAAATCGGAAATAGGACTGGAACAAGATATAATAGGTGTATCGAGATCATCAGAATGTGTAACAGAATGTGCACTGAATTGATGAGGTTTGGTAAGTGAGTTGTTTTTGGACTTGAAATATAACTGATGATCAGGAGTTTGGAAAAGATATAATCCATCCTCAAGCTTGCCTACCCCAATCATCATTCATGTTAAAAGATCATACACAAAACAAGCATTATGCACAAAAATCAGAAAATAATTATGCTTAAGGACCAAATTGCTAATGGATATCAGATTGAAATTAAAGGATGGCACCACTAGGACATTAGTTAAGATAAAATCATCTGATAACTTCACAGTTCCAACTTTAGTCACAGCAGCACGATGTCCATTTGGCAACTTAACAAAAGCTGTGGAATCTGCTATAATGGAGGTAAGATAATTGCAAGAGCAAACCATCTATTCTGATGCTCCTGTGTCAATTATCCATTTGATTCCAGCAGCTCTCACATTATGACATAACTGATTACCTGAAAAAGTAGAGGTTCCAGGAATAGATGATGAACTCAGTGAAATGTCTGGTGATTGTGAATTTCCAGTAGACAAACGTGCTTGCAATTGAGGAACAAGCATAGCTATGAGTTGTTGACATTGGTCAGGGGTGAAAGGATCCTTTGACTGTGAAGAGAATGTCTCAGACTTTCTGTCGATAGGAACATGAGCCACTGCACTTGCAATAGGCAATCTACCTCTTACATACTTATGACTTGGAGGATATCCTACAAGCTTGTAGCATTTTCCCCTAATGTGTCCTACCAAACCACAATAACCGTACATAGGTTGATCTAGCCTCTGAGGTATTTGTAAGAGGTATACTTCTGATTTACACTTGGCCTGTTTATAACTTTTCCAGCACAAGCAGCTGGCTCGAAATTTTGCTGCCTTTTTGCAGCAACCTCCTTCTGTTTTTCATTTTGTAAAATCAATGCAAATACCTTACTTAATGAAGGTAATGGATCCATCAATAAGACTTGGCTCCTAACAGCAGAAAATTGATCATCAAACCCCATCAAAAACTGCATAACCTGATCCT